AAGGTGGAGTATTGCGTGTTATGGAGACTAGAATGAAAGTACCAAAGAGAGCAGTGTGGGATGAGCAAAAACGAAAATATAAATTTACCAGAAAACGCGAGTACAATCTTAATGGTGCAAAAATAGAGTTGTTACCAGAAGGACTCACTCGGAGAAGGTATGATCACATTAAGCATAATTATTTCATATTTTTATAGTATAATATAAACAAATAAAATAAAAATATGTTTTGTGTATAGGAGATGGAGCAAGAAATATCCTATTTGTATCACGATGGACCAAGGAGCACTAATAGATAGCACGAGTCTGAACGATTGGACGGACCTAGGAAAGGAAACCCTCGAGGATGAAAAGAAAATTATCCAAGTAGATGGAATCAATCAGGAAATGGATGAAAATACCTTCGGCGAAGAAACAAAAAGTGAGGATGAAGATTCCAGATTGGAATATTTTAAGGATAATGAGGAGGATGAGTTTAAGATCGACGATGATGAAGATGATGATGATTTTTCACAATCCAAATCCCTCAGGAGTATTTACGAGGATTGTCGCGACAACGAAGAGATTACCAAGTGCAAACTTTATATGTTTGCACGCGCCGATCGAGAGAAGGAAGACTGGTAACATCTCTTCTAAAATGCCTCTCTCAAATCAATTTAAATATAATAAAAATTCTAATTAAACTTTCTAATTATTAAAGTATAACTTAGAGCTTTGCTTGCTTTATTAGCATATCTTAATAAAGGATTTTTCAGGTTTCGTAGATTGATATCAGCGGCGTCTCTTTCAAAAAAACGACATTCAATTTGTTCCATAAATGATTCTGTATCCTGCGCGAATACAACTTCTGCACAATTAGATGTGACAGAAACAAAGTCACTAGAGACGTCTCCGGAAGTCACTTACAGTACCTATATGAGCAAGTACCTGAATGTAAGCAATGTGATGATTAAGTTAATTTTAGAATCCTTATAATTTTAATTAACAAGTGATTACCTTTCAGGTGGATCCTGAGGATTCTCCACGGGAGAGCGACGTCCTTTGGATAAATTGTCTTTTGGGACGGATATTGTTCGATATGCATAGTTGTCCAGAAGCAATCAATCTTATTCAAGATAGGATACAACGTAAACTCTCTAACATAAAACTTCCATACTTTATGGAGAGTCTCCTCGTGACAGAAGTAGTAATCGGACATGATGCTCCGATGATTCATAAAGTCTCTAAACCCGCACTTGACGAGCGCGGACTCTGGTTTGATTTAAATATTACTTATAAAGGCAGCGTAACGATGACCGTAGAGACAAAGTTGAATCTAATGAAGCTAACACGTGCGAGTAGCGTTCCCAGTGATATTGTTGATGAGAAGTCTATTCCTACTAGATCACCAATATTCGATAGCGATGTAGAAGATAGTCCAGAGACATCCACTGAAGATGAAGATATAGGAAACATCGCGTCGAGCGTCGCATCTAAAGAGACGACGTAAGTGATTTTCTAATTTAAATCATGGTTCCAATTCATCGTATCAATCTTGCCTTTTGTCTCTTTAGATGCTATTGATATTTAATATATTAGGTGTTGGAATTAATTCGTAGCGTTTTTTAATGAAAGAATGTTATTTATTTCACATGAGCATTAAAAAATACATTAATGAAAGTACTTCCCATCACTTAAAAAACGCTACGAATTAATTCCAACACCTAATATCTTAAATTTCTTTTATATTAAAAATGTATATAATTGAAACAATGTATGTCCTCTAAAATATAAATTTGTTCATCTCACACAAATTAAAAAAAACATAAAAGTATTATGACGAAGTTGTAGACCAATTCATAGATCTTCTCATATTATAGACCAGTACAGTCTTCAGGTAAGAAGTTTCTTAGTATGGTCGACAAACTGACAGCCAACAAATATTTCCGACACGTAAGTAACACTTAATTATGTTTAGATAGTCTATTTATAGTCTTTAGATAGTCTGTTATCATTAATAATTGCGAAAACAGGCGCTCACTAAACGAATACAACTTTTCTATCACAGGCTACGGAGTTGTCATACGTACGGAGGGCAATGGAGGGTGTTTCCAACACAGAGATCCGTTTTATGGTTAGTGTATCCGGCATCGAGGGTTGTCTCTTATTAAATATTCCTCCGCCGCCCTCTGATCGGCTCTGGTACGGTTTCAAATCAGTGCCGAAGATCGCTCTCACTGTGCAACCAACTCTTGGCGAAAGGACTGTCAACATTGTATATGTGAGTAAATGGATCGAAAATAAGCTGCTCAGGGAGTTCGAGAAACTAGTCGTTCTACCAAATATGGACGATCTGATCCTGCCACTCTGCCCAAATTATCCCTTTACCACAACGTAAACGAATCTTGCGCCGGCCAAAGTCTCCTTTTACAACTTTTACATCTTTTCGTTTTTTTTTTTGTATGTTTTGTGAAAGTGTTCATCTGTCGCACGTTAATTGAAAAATGATACATTTTTCTTCAATATAGTGATTTATCTAAATTACATAGAAACCTGCGAAAAAAAAACAAAGAGACTTTTAGTTACAATAAATAGTAGTTTAACAATAGTTTAAATTGTTTTTACATGATTTTTTAATATTATTGTCATTATGTTATTTGTCGCAAAAAACCATTTATTAGCCATATTTAGCATCTAAAAGAAAGTGGGCGGAATTGTGATACATTCTTACATGTGTTATTTTACATTTATAAAATTCAAGGAAAAGGAAGGCAAGAGTGACGAAGTTTATAGTACGAGTGAGCATTATTTTTATTAGAATATGTAAAAAAAATCTAATGAGCGAAAGAGGTGTACAGGGAGAAAAGTAATTAATGTAAAGTGTAAACCTCGCTGTTTATTTTGTTTAGTCATACATTTTTAAATCGAGTGAAATTGATGCTGCGCCAAAAAAAAAAAAAGAAGGATACATGTCAGTGTGATCGTTGAATTAGTTATTTAATAGGCAGCTGATGCGAAATATTTTGTGAAATTAATACTAAAATTGTAAAATAATTAAGTTACAGTAAAATTAAATAATCACTGAATTTGAGCAAATAAAATTAGGGCAAAATTATCAAAATAAGAAAAAATATATGTATATGAAACAAGTTAAAAAACGTGAGACGATTTTTGCGTTATCGTAATTAGATTTATTATCGTTTAATAGTTAGATTCGTAAACTAAATGATGTTGCAATTGACAAAATGAAATAAGAAAAGAAATTATGACGTATCAATTACCTTTATCAGAATAGTAGAATGATGATCGTACAGATTTTAAAAATACAGTTAAAGTATTAATTGTGCGCTCAGTTTACAAATAAATATATAAATTTCATTTCTCTGTAGTCCATTGCGAATCAAGAAACTTATAGTCAATGGCTTTTCAACGAATGTAGCAGAAAGATTTATTCTCCTCTGTCTCTGATTGATGAGCTGAGTGAATTACTCTACTCGTTCAACGACACTAGCAAAGAGAAAGCAAAATGTTCATTAATATATAATCGAATACAGTTTGTATCTACTAGCCAGCTTGACCTGTGAGCTGTGTTATTTTGTTTGATACTATACAAATATATACGTGCGCGTTTGTGTATTTGCATGTCTCAGGGAGATTATATATAGATTAAATTCTGTAGCCACGATGTGATTTCATTACGGTAGAGTACTGATATTTTTAAATATATGGAAATCTTTTTATATCAAAATATATGACAAATTATATCAAAAAGGCCAATTCTTATATGTTTAAATATAAAACTAATTGCAATAAAGCAAATATATTTTGTAAAAGTTTTTCAAACGATGTTCTGTTTGTACCTCGTACCGTAATCGATCTCGCATGGTTCCAGAATTAAATCACAGAGGTATATTAAAACAGTTTTTGCAGAAATAAATTATTGTACATTACCAATTGTTTCCCTCTTTCTCTCTTTCTCTTCTAAAAATTCTTTTCTAGATAAACTAAGAATATCGATATATTTTGAGACTATCGTGTGAATATATGAACACTCAATTGTTGTATAAATATTATAAATTACATGACTCTTCATCTATCAATCGATAGACAAGTGTTATAAACAATTGTTTTTATTATGCACACATTTTTTATATTAGAGGTATAGAATATGGACAGAAATGCATAATTTTTTCCAAATATCTTCTTTATTATTGTCGCACATATATAATATTTTGATAAGAACAGCTATTCCGGTTGGAATTTATATAAAATACTTTTAGTAAATCTATACAAAATTATTATATAATATTGTATGAATATAAACAAAATATGCTCAACTCTGCAGCGAGTCCATGTACTCGCCCAATAAAATTGCAATATACCTAGTATTTTTAATCGCTGCACACTTTCTCTTGGTAGATAATAGATTCTAACAGAATATTACTCCTACATCAATTTTAAAGACTGAGACATTCGTAATAAAATTACAGAAGAATGGAAAAGATTCAAGTTTCAAGAGGAACACAAATACATAACAAAATTTTTCTTTGCACAATCTCAAGTATATTTGATTTCAACGAAATTTTAATATGTTATAAAATATAAAATGAGAAAATGATGTGAAATAGGATAAGAAAAAAAGAGAGAAAATAAGAATTACGAAAAGGAAATTTTCAAGGGAAAGTGTGAGCGATGTCTATGGGATATTCTATACATAATGATTTTTCTAATATCTAGAACAAGTATAAGGCAAATGTGCTTTCCGTTTTTTCGTGCACGTTCTTCCGTGTTCTTCTTAATACAACAAATAATATCACAGTTTGGAGATCGACAATCTGACAGTATGCAGTATGTACACAAAGAATGATATTCCCTATATACACGATATCCTTGTACAAACGGCTAGACGGACAGTTTTTTAGACGGTATTACTCTTTTAATGATTGCGTTGATTTCCAATTTTGCAACATGATATTGCAGTCTTATCTATGTATATCGTGTATATTTCTTTATGACTTTCCAAAGAAAATCAAATCTCATTAACTAACTATGAAGGACGCAGGGAGCATTGTCCATTTCATGTACAATTTGCATCCATGCCTCCAGTCGAGGTGCGCATACCAAGGTGAGATCTCCGAGACGTCGTTTGGCCATTATCACAAATTCACCGAGACCATGCCGCGCGTCACATACCATTGGTATTCGTACACGCACGCTCTTCTTAAAAGACGCGTCAATTTCATTGCCCTGTAATAATTTGTTGTATTTTTAAGTATTTTGTAATTAACTTACACAAGCTTTAAGCATGACAGAAAAATCAAAGTATATATTGTCTTATAAAGTTTTACCTCAGTTTCCTGGGCTACATAGCGCAGAATCTTAGTGACCCTAAGTATCAGTTCAGCCGTATCCATCTTAGGATTCTGTTCGACGTCAGTGACAGTGCCTTTAGCAACCAAGTCACTTTGACAATAAGCCTTGGCGAGTTCCTCCATGGAGCAAGGTCTGCAGTCCTCCTCTTCGTCCGGCACGCGAAGTGTTCTCCCCTTCACAGAATTCGGCTCCAGATCGTATTGCAGCTTGACCTTGGTGTTTTTGAAGGAATAATCATCCTCAGCTTCCATGTAAAGTGCGGCTGTAAGCTTCCGCGAGCGGAAGCATCGGTGTGTAAGTTCGTGCTTGCCATCGGACGGAGAATAGAGTTGTCTTAGCTTGCCGCTAGCTTCCAGAAAGACCCGCACAGGCCCAGAAATCTTGACGCAGGCACGGAAACCCAGATAGCTGAGAGAATTGTTCTCCAAGACCGGAAAGGAAAGAACCACTCTCAAAGCGTCATGAGGATAGCGCCATAGTACCGTTCCTCGAGCACAGCGCAGATACACTGGCCGGACACCACCGCTTTCTCCTCCGCTGTGCAAAATATTTACATTTCAATTAACACATCTATTTTTATAAATGTATTACAATGAGAAATAAGGAGAAATAATGTTACTCATTTGAAATTATAGAGAAAGGAAAGAATGACTCATATTAATACTTTGCCATATGTTTAATTGAAAAGGTTGAAATTATATTGAACATAAATCAATCTCTCTCTCTCTCTTTCTCTCTCTCTCTCTCTCTCTTTCTTTCTCTCTCATTATTTTATATTATTAATAAAAAGTATTCCTATCCGTATCCACAAGTCCAGTAGACTTGGCTTTTTTCAATAATATCATAACAATTGTTTTTCAGAACTTTATATAATTTCAGTTACATAATATTATTCCTCGAATTTTGACCTATAAAATAAAAAAATCCATGTTCAATCGTTAACTTCAAACAAAGATACATTTATTTAAAATATACTGGATCTGCAATTATCAGCAATATCCAGAAAATTTTAGAGCAAACATCGAAGCAAATAATTGGTGTTAAGAAATTGAAGTGGAGCGATTTATGTCCGACTACACAGCCGGTGATTTGTGAAGTCACATCAGCCGTGCGCTTGTTACGGCACTGATGTGAAAGTTCGTGAACGCAGAGAGAGAAAGAGAGAGAGAGAGAGAGAAACTATGTGTTACGGTGAAAAATACAAACCTTCCGGACCAGTCGCACTGATCCGCGGCGGTATGCTCGTAGGCGGATACACTGACGGAGATCAGAGCAAGAACCACGACTGCTGAGTGTACCATTTTTCTTTTTTTTTTCTCACAACGTTACAACGTTCGTCGTTCGGATGATATGTCACATCTTCGCTTCGCGGGAGCTTCCGCAGAAATCAGATCGTAATAGATCACCTCTTTCCATCCACATTCGAATTAAGTACTCTTAGAATTAGACTCTCAGGTCTTCTTCTTTTTATTCTCTTAGACTTCTGAATCACCTATAAGGATCACAGTATCATGAGTGGATCAAACGTGGATCAGATGATCCAGTATTTAGCTTCCTCGAGAAGAAAAACTTCCCGTCTTAAAATCTTCAATCTCTCAGTTGTTTATAAATCATTTCTGTCGGAAGAAACGTAGCTATCATTTTTTCATGAGTCCCTGAGGACTTTTAAGAATCTCAGAAGATACGCTCGAGTGATGTGTTTATGGCCAGTATTCTCTTTCTTTTTCTTTTTCTAATCTCCTTTTTAATTTCTGACTCAAAAGACCCTCCTAAGGCAAGTCATATCTGTATGCGATAATGGAAAAAAAATACCTAAGCATTCCTCAGCGGTGCTGAGATTCAAAAATCTAATACCTGATATGAGAATTCCTTCTATTATAGACAGCTGCTTTGTCATTACGCCACACAACGAGGGCGATATTCACCGTTGTATTTAATGTACATATTTTTTACAGTACCACAGCTTAAATTGGATCAATGTGAATCAACGGTCCAGCAAGTAGCAATTTGCCTTCTTGGAGGTAAAGGAAGCACTTTGATTCTAACGATACCTTTCCAGATGGTCCATAATACCTCCTTCGTCGATACACCAGAGTGTTATGCCACTTGAGCGATTCAGGAGTCCTTCGAAAAAAAGACACGCGACATGTACGCGGAAGGAGCAAGGTGGTTTCCCTATATGGCGGTCCCGCGAGAATGTACTTGAAGAGGAATGTAAACAACAATCTCGTCGATCGTCAGAGACCGTCCCCTCGCATTCCTCACACCGCGCATCACTCCGTCGCAGCGACGAGTCCTCGCACGAGTGGATTTTGCACGTCCCTCGAAAACGAGAACTGAACGTGACTTGTGCACACTATACACCGCTTCCTCCGATTTCCTATGAGGTCACGTCCAGTCACGTCGGAACCACGAGAACACTTCCTCTATTCCGAGATATCCCTTCGATCCTCCCACTCTTCGGTCTAACAGCACATGCGCAGAGAACGAGAACGCGGTTTCTACGCGCGTCCCTCGTCGTTTTATTATTATATCTACATTCTACGCGATCGCCAGGCGTATACGTTCACCGGTTACGAGGTTCACCCGCATATCCCCTACTAGGTCCTGAATCGCCCGGTCCACCGTTCACCGACAGAGGAAAGATCAGGTTCTCCTTGCTGGACTCGAAGAACGAGATCAGGGTTGTATCATGTTTCAAAATTTATATGTTTACATAGAAATATTACGTTATTGTTTACGTTAAGTATATTTAAACGTATTTACGTTTGCATTATGTATAAATAGTATAAGATATTCAATCCATGCAGCATGAAATATTTTAGTAATATTTTGTAAAATATTTCATTGCAAAATTTGAAATATTTCAGAAGTTTTCATGAAATCTTTTTAAAATATAAATACCTATGTCTAGAAAATTAATTTTTGAAATATTTTCTTACAATAATATATATTTATACAATATTTCTGAAATATATTTTATTAAAATATTTCAAAAAATGATTCGTATAAATATATATATATATATATTTCATGTGTGGAAAGTTATAAATTTGATAAACAATATAAAAAGTGCAATATAAAAAGAAGTTAAGTTCTATGATTGTTACAACTAATTTTAATGTTGATAAATAAAAATATTAAACAAAACACAGGAGTATAGTCCCGTGCAACGATAAAGAATGTACAGATTTTTATAATAATCCAAAGATTGTTTACATAAATGATACATAATATAATTTACATAATACCACATTTTTCTTTTTTTTCTTCAACGTGAGTTGGAGAAATCAGTTGAAAAGAATATTAAGATATAATGATTAAACAAAATACCAGAATTATCTGAGTATATGTCAAATAATGTTACAATGAAGATCGAAGAATATCTATTCCTTTAATATTTCGCCGATTTGAATTTACATTGTTTAAATTTAAATATTATTTTATTTAAAAACTACATCGATAAGTGCGCTCATTCTTTGTCAACTGCTGGTAATTATCGATAATGAGAATTTTCTCATCAAGTTATCTACAGAGTTTCAATATTGTTGAAGTGGCGCTGAGTACGTACATCAAAAAAGCCATAATTGCTTGTTTCTTTGTTACGATTGTCATGTTTACATTTCCTAATTGGAAATAATCTCTGTATCGTTGAAGTGGCTCGATTCGAAATATGGCCAAGACAAAAACAATTAGCAAGGGATGTCCCAAATGCGAACAGCAGGTATTTAGATAAATTCTCGTCATGTGTAATAATTCATACATTTTTTTTATAATTATATTCACACACATATACAATATGCCTTTCATACATTTATGAAGTTACATACGTCTTATTTATGTAATGATTCACGTTTGTCGTGAAGAATGCATTTTTATTTTTATTATTTATTGAATTTTTCTGTAATATTTACCTTATATTTATTTATTAAATTTTTTCAAAATTTAATATTGAAATTATGCACAAAGTATCGAATAAAATATGCGAAATTTTTTTTTGTAGACAAATGTATGATGCATAAATGCATTCTCTTATCGAAATTTTATTTATTAATTGAATGAGAGCGGTTATTAAATTATTATATACTTTTATATTATTTACTATTTTTTTAAGAATCTTATTAATAATATATTATTTTAAAGATTTCATAAATTTTATTTTACCTTGAAATATGTTATATTTTCCTTTTGATGATATTTATTAAATTAATTACATGCTATGCTATAAATTGCATGCTATGCTAATCGAAGATATTAATAAATTTGACTTATAATAAGGTACCTGTTGCCTGTAAAGCTTGTCCTTGTGGACATTCTTTTTTTAATGCAAGACGTAATTCTATCAAAAGTCCACCCAGTCCCGACAGTGGAGTGATGAAAACAAGAAGAACAAATCGTATTAAACGCGAGAAGCCAAATTATTATGATGCTTTGGAATATGATAAGCAGATGAAAAAAAGTGCCAAGGTAGAATAGAATATTGTTTTTAATATTAACACATTTAATATTAACATTTTGTGTACACATAAATTTATTAGATCGTAATTCTGTTTTAACTTGTATTATTGCTATCCACAACATATTAATATTTGTCTAATATATATAATATTGTATTGTAATACATTATATCATTCGAAAGAATATTTGATATTCTTAATGCGTGTATAAAAACTATTTTATTCTTTTAGATCAGAAGGACTACAGACAATTCAAATGATATTGATTGTCGTCAGTTGAATAAAAAGAAAAAACGAAAAGGAAAGGGAAAGGGCAAGAATGGCAGTAACAGTGGTATGGGTGATGATGATGATGAAATGGATGGAATCAATGGATTATCTCCAGAGAAACAGCTCACTTGTTCTCTCATATTGCAAGAACTGAACAACAAGATGAGAGTGGTAGCTTGGAAGCCTACGTGAAATTTGCAATAAATGTAGATATATATATGTAGATATATATATATATATATCTTTGATGATCTCAATGACCATTAGTGATTATCTTATCGATGCATTAAGAGTTCAGAGACACTACCTACTGTATTCAAAGTTTCAGAAACACTCCCACATCTCTGGATTGCGCAATGGTGAGATGCAAATGAAACAGAGTTATACAGTACAATACACTACATATATTGATGCTTTATGATATTAAAAATTGAAGTTACCGAATTTACATCGAATTTAGTCTTTATAAAGAAATAACTGCCATAAAAGTCTCTGATTGATGTAATTTTTCATAGCATCCTTATGGATCATTTTTTTTATTGTGATTGAGAATTGTGATGTCAAGGTTCTGCTTATAAAATGTATAAACTTGTAACTCTAGATTACACCCTACTAATACTATTTGTATTTTGCATTTAGCGCTAAATATATGTCTGATTCTCAGAATTATTCTTAAAGTTTTGATAAGGAGATTATGGATAATACTGAATAATCATTGCATCAGACTATCTCAGATAATCTTGCAATCAGACTGCCATATATAGCGCTTTGAATGCAAGTGGAGACTTTATACTCTAATAAATAAAATCTTCTGAGATTATTCGTATAGGAATTATATACATATATATCTAATAGGAATTTGTGTGTGTGTGTGTGTGTGTATATAATTTTGAACTTATTTGTATTATTTCAAGGCATTTATAACCTAATGTTCATAGAAACATTTATTCTTCCTTTTTATCCAGGAATACGAAATTTTTAAATATACTCATGACTCATCTTGTGTATACATATATATATATATATACACACACACACACCAATTTAAAGATTAAAAAAAGAAATACGTAAACATCATGACTCAACATGTACATATTTAGATCTAATAAAAATTTATATTCTAGATTGTAAAGATTTTATATTATAGATTTTATTATAGATTATTCATCATTGTTTTTTTAAATATTATTCGTATATCCATTTGAATTAATTTACTTTCTATGTGATAATCATTTTTTCATATATATATATATATATATATATATATAAACAATATTTAATGGACATTAAATTAATAAGAAATTTTGTATATAATTGTAATATGTACAATGTAAATAATAAAAACAGAATAAGGAAACTTCTTGGAGATTGTTTATACGTTTATTAAGATTCGTGAGATATATGTATTCATGAACATTATTGTTTACACATTTACAAAACATACGTGACAGAATGGATGTATTAAAAATATTGAAATACAAGAGAATGTCAGAAATAATTTGAGAATAAAATGAATAAATAAAGCATGAATATATAAGTTTTTAATCTATTTCATGAAATTTATCTAATAAAGATATTCCGTCTCAGTATATAAAAATGGCAGGGAATCCATCTTGGAGATATTCAGTAAGCATTAATATGTTCTTTTTTTGTGACAACTGTTACGATTTATTTATTTTCCTATTACACGTTAAATCACTTTATAGTCAACGATCACATTTTCAAAATAATTTATCCTTTTATGGTAGTGTCCCCTTGACGATTGTTATTCTCGGCGTTCACGGGCAGCTTTGTTGGATTTGTTTGGTTCTCGTTGAAAACCAAAAGCAGAGGTAAACCCCCTATGACCATACACGTACCCATACACAAAAAACACACAGTGTAGCTTCCAGTTACATCGCGAAGATAACCTGGAATAATATCAATTATTATATAATCAATATAATATATAGCAACCAAAATCAATAAGAATTCATTAGAAATATGTATATCGCTAGAAAGAACAAAATGAATTGCATGTAAATAAATAAATACGTCAATTTAAATATACGCGTGTAAATTTACGCAAACACGCTTTAGGAATATATTCTCGTAAATATTTTAGTGTGTGCAGTTCATTTTTTTTTATAAAACTTGAGATTGTAATTTATTATCGTATTTATTTCGCTATTTATCTTTATTTACGAAATTCAGAATTTGCAAAAATCTATCTATTATATATAACATCTTAACATTACATAATATATCCTTCATATAACTCGAATACTATTAATGACTTGACATTTTCTCTAAAGAAAAATCGATTCCGAATTAGTGATGTGTGGTTGCAGTATTTTATTATTCTTATTTTATCTATTTTATAAAATCATCTGAGCAATTAATCTGTAACCATAATGTACAAGTTTATCAAGATAAAAAATATATCAATAAAATTATTTAACATAATTTAAATAAAAATCTGGACAAATACATAAAAAAAAAAAAACGAAAAGACGTAAATAATATATAATCTTCAAAGATAATAATATCGAAACAATTAAAAAAGGCGATAACCAACGTGATTCAAAAGATGTATGATTATTCATAAAAATTCTTAGATATCCCGTTTGATGACAAAAAAAAACTCAATTTTTATCCCGTATTGCACACATCGATCGCTATTTACTTATTAGAAAAAA